TACAAGAGTGGCATTCAAGTCACTAGCTGCTCTGTGGGAGAAAGACAAGGCTGCCATAAAGATTCACAATCTTACAAACCCTGTGTAGGGTCAATATGAATCATTATCAACTCAATGGAAGTGGGATTCTCAAACCTCTCAAACTCAATCTCTCATCTCCATCCATACCCACTGCCACTGGTCCCATTGATGCCACCCCCATCACTTGTCTTAAAAACAAAATCTAAACAACCTTCATGCTGCTCGGGAACTGGGCTCTGGTTGTCGGGAGGATCCTGGTCCAGTGGAAGCCTCCTCTTGACCCTAGATCTACCTTTCTGTTCCTTTGTGACTCTGATTCTCTTTGCAAATCCATGAAGGCTAGTAGTGTGACATTTTTGTGGTCATATTTGACATCTAGGACTCAGATGAAACATCCACCTGGAGTGTGACTACGAGCTTCAAAAGCAAACGATTATTTTTAATACATAAGGAAGTGAAGTAGCAGTCACTAATATCATCCTTGTTTCTCCAAGATTACAGTCCCAAATTTCAACCAGTAAAAATCCTTGGGGACATGGTTGGCTGCAGAACTGTGCTTCTGGTATTCATCTTTGTTTCCTCACGTCATTAAGACCACTGGTGCGAAGAGACAGGGCTGAGCCTAGGACAACTGTAAAATGCCATGCCCTAAGCTCTCTCTTAAGTGCCTTCCTGCAAGGTTCACACATGCTTCCTGTTTGCTCCACAAAGGCTAGCACAATGGTTGACCTTGGGCTCAGTTCTTTTATCTTTACTCTGTGTTGGTGGCATAATCGCTGCCAATCGGGCTGCTAGCCACAAGGCCAGCAGTTTGAGACCACCAGCCACTCCGCGGGAGAAAGACTAGGCTTTCTACCCCCATCAGCAATGACAGTCTCGGAAACCCACAAAGACAGTTCCATCCTGCCCTATTGGGTCATGACCAGTTGGAATCAACTCAACTGCAACGAATGCTTTAGAACTGTCTGTGGACTGGGAAACGTCAGATACATAAAAGGACAGGAGAAAGCCTCGTCTCCAGAAAAGCACTCTGCCAGGAGTAGAAGTTCAGGACCACCGAGAAGAAGGCAAAAGAGGTATTCTGGACCTGGTCTTCCCCAAACTTGTAGGTCTATATTAGCCATGAGCTAATCGAACTAGATTTTAATAGAGTTGGTATTGTACTCTCTGGGTTCGATACAGTTGTGGTCACCAACCTGTGATCTGAAATCAGTGCCTATTTTAACTGAAAGAAGTGAAGTTTCCTCTGAAAAAAACAAACAAACTTGTTTTTCCTAAAGAAATGGGACAAGTGGAATAACACTGCCTGATGAGTCAGAGGACTTTGTATCTACTCCCTTGCAACACCACTTCCTAACTATGTGACGTTGGGCAAGTCACTTAACCTACCTGAGGACTGACTTCCTCAGCTTAAATCGGGATATACATACCTTCTCTTTATCCTTACAATTTGGTTATTGGGGGAAAAACCAAAAGCATACAAGTGAGATTTTAAGTGTGAACCGGCCTTGAGATCTGTAAAATGTAAGGTGTGATTATTGAGGGATGACTGCTTCCCTCATCCTGTCTGGTGATTTCAAACATGAAGTGCAAATTCTTTCCTTCTTGTTGGCAGAGGAAACAGCTGCTGGTTAAAAGCAATCTTGAAACCCCTCTTCACAAAGAACCCATCTTCTGCATGTCAAGGTTGCTCGGCCAGGATGGGCGCCTCCACGAAACAATGTAGAGATGTTCCAGCAGGTGTCACTAGAGAACCAGCTTTCTGTACTACAAGGTCTGACCACAGGAGCAAGAGAAGCTGGATGCCGGTGGGCTGGGATAGTGTTCATGGGATTCTGTCATTAAACCCAGGGTTATCGCAATTCCAGTGGCATGCACCTGGGGAGGTTGAGGCCAATCAGATGGAGACACCCTTTTCCTTTAGCACAAAGGCCCTCCTCTTGGGTCCTTTGGGACCCTCTCCCTTGGTCACTCTTAGGCCCCAAAACCTGTGCCCTGAATTTTTGAGAAACCTGACTCAACATAAAGGAATTTCTTTTCAGGGTAAGTTGCCTTTTCCTTCTCAACTCAATCAAGGACTTTTTTGGCATATGATTTTCATCAGTATAAAAATTATGTTGATGAGATCAAATCTTCTACCTTAACATTCAACTCACACACTAGAGACAAAAAAATCATTTCACTAAAAACAAAACAAAAAACCTTCACTGCCATTGAGTGGATTCTGAGTCCTAGGGATACTTTAGAATGGAGTGGAATCTGAGGCTGTACAATCGTAAGGGAGCAGAGAGCCTCACCTTTCTCCCAAGAAGTGGCCGATGAGTTAGAACCCAACCTTGTGGTTAGAAGCCCAACATATCACCCGGTACACCACCTGGGCTCTATTTAGGCAACAAATCTAGTATGTGCAGGCAAATCATTAACATATTGGGAGTGACACACTGTTTACAGTTACCAAATAGAAGCCTGTTGAACATAGTACTTGATGTTCATTTTCACATGCTACAGATGGTCTCTCATATTTTATTCTTAATGGGCACATTATCTCACAGATGAATCTATGACATAGATTCATGCTGTGCCATGCTGAGATTAGTTCTGCCATAGGCTTTATGGGATATGTAGTCTTCCTTGGTTGAGCGTGGATGCTAAATCAGAGAGACTGAGAAACACCTTTTTTGCAACCGAGCTAAATCCCAAACTTCCTGCCCTGCTCTTCTCCTGGCCTCTAAGATCCCCATGCATACTCATGTGAGTGAGTGTGTGTGTGTGAGAGAGAGAGAGAGAGGAGAGAGAGAGAGAGAGAGAGAGAGAGAGAGAGAGAGAGAGAGAGAGAGAGAGAGAGAGAGAGAGAGAGAGAGAGAGAGAGAGAGAGAGAATCAGAAGTACTTCCTGTGGGTCTGTGGATGCAGGGGTACATTCTAATAATGGGAGAAAGGAAATACGTGAGAAACTCCGTGAGGGAAGGGGGCAAATAGGATTCACCCCAAAGGGCTGCCTGAGGTTGTGCAAGCAAACCAGCAGTTGAGAGTTCAAAGGCAAGACTGGACTGACCCAGGAAGACTGACCCGCCTGGGGACTGCTGTCCCTGGGGAGTGGGGAAAGGAAAAGGAATGACCCAAGTGACTGGACACCCTGGAGATCTTATCACACGGCGTGCCTTTCCCATCATCCAACACAAGTCTCCTTTCCTTCAAAATGTCCAAAACTACATTTAGTTTTTGCATCATTTGAAGATCTGCTGAAGAGTAGAGTTGTGATCTACATTACAAAAATCTCTGTGTGTGTGTGTGTGTGTGTGTGTGTGTGTGTAGAAACTAAAGGTCTGCACCCTTCATGTATGCAAAAGCTGCTCCAGCAGTAAGTGCATTAATCTCCAACTGGTGGGATGACAGGCAGAGTGTACACAGATGCCTGTGTGGCTGCAAATCTCTCAAATCCTCAGATCGCTCAGTAAGCTGTCTTTGTTTCTCTTTCTGTGAATATTTAATAGTGCTAATGTCTTTCTTTGAACCCATTAAGTAAGGTATTTTTCAAATAAGGGGAGAAGCTCCAAATCCACAGAGCAACTGCCCTGTACTCTATTTTGGCCTTGCACCCCAAAGTCTAAACAGAACAAACAAATTTAAAAAGCAGAGAGCAGATTTGACGAGGTTAAGTCCTGGTGAAGTTACTTTTTTGGTAACAAGCCAAGCTCTCGGCGCCTGCTCCCCTTGAGCTTTGATGCCTTGTACCAGTGTGGACCCGGTGACTGAGGGTCCGATTTCCTTGGAAATCTGAGTATGGAGCCACTCAATATAGAGAGAGCCAGGGGTGATAAGACCTCCCTGACCCCTTGGTCATGGAATAAATCCCTGATTCAGGCCTTTTCTTTCCACCTTATTCTCAAATTTTAACACCTCCACCGCTACTGTGCACTCAGTGCGGTGAGATGCTCCTTGGTTGTGCAGACCAAGGAAAAACTAAAGTGAGGGGGGCCATCACGAAAGGTAGTTATCCAAATTGAGCAGAATTGATCATCAGATCAATCGATCAGAATTGATCAGATTTTATCAGTTTATCAAATCATCAGAATTGATCAGAAAATCTAAAACCACTTGCCATCAAGTCACCCTAAGACTCATGAAGATTCCCTGTATGTCGAAGTAGAACTGCGTTCCTCAGGGCCTTCAGTAACTGCCATCTTAAAATTTGATGGCAAGGCCTTCGGAGAAACCCCTGGGTAAATTCGAACTGACAACCTTTCTGTTCGTAGCCAACACTTCACTGGTTTCTGTTTTGTTTTGTCAAGCCCAATGAGGCACCTTCCACAAAACAAAAAAACAATTGCTGCTTCACCTTTCAGTGTAAATAAGTATCTTCACTGGGAATCGTAATTTTCTGTTGTAGTCTGGCAGCCTCGGGTGAAATCCCCTTTCCTACTGAGTTTCACTCACAAGATCGCGCAGGCATATTTCGGACCTGCGCTGTGGAGCCCAAGCTCAAGCTCCTTGGGGTTGGTGGGACCCTCTTCTCCCCAGCCGGAGCCGCAAGCCTGAGGCCCTGGGGTCCAGGTAACCGTCCAAGTAACCACAGCCTCTCTGTGCCCCGGCGTCCCCGCGCAGGTCTCAACGTCCTGTTCTCAGCCAGTCCAGTTCTCCCCGGCTCAGAGCCGCTCGGAAAGCAAAGATTAAAGGGGAAAGTCGCAGCTGTATATTTATATTTTCATTGCTAGAAGGGAATCATCGATTTCCGCGCATTTATTTTGGTCGTTGTAATCCACAGGGGCGGATTTGCGTCACCCGAGCAACTTGCCGGTGGAGATAAAGTTGCACAAATATTGAAAGGGGAAGTGCTAGGAGTCATTATAGAGTTTTTCTCCGGAAGAAATAAGGATTTCAGCAGTATCCTAAAATACGAAGGCCGCTTCTATTTTGAGCCCCATCTCGCAGGCACATCCGCTCATTTAGTCCGCGTTTGAGGCCCTCGGAAAACAGGAGATGCCCTGCACTCCAGCGGACCCCGGGTTTCCTGCGGCCGCCGCCGCCGCCCCAGTGCTGAGCGGCGGGCCAGCAGGAGGGGAGTCTGCGGGCTCGGAGGGGGCCAGGGGCAGCTTCGGTGAGGCCCGGGCCTGGAGCGGAGGGTGGGGGGGCGGGGTACGAGTTGGGGTGTTAAGGGAAACTGGAGTGAAGGAGGCGGTTCTCCCAAAGCTACCAAGGTGGCCGCAAGGCTGGAAGCGGCTGAAATAAAACCCAAGGCCCGGAGAGCCGAGGGCCCCGCGAGGCCGCCCGGCCAGGGAAGAAGGTGCCGCTTGAAATCAGTCACGCTGCGGGCCGCACGGCCCGGCGAGAAATCGCGTGGAAAGCCGCCCTCCCGACTTCCTTTCCCCTGGCCCTGTTCTGCTCCAGGGGTCTAGAAGTAGGCCCCAGCCCAGCCCAGCCCCGTTAGGGCAATTGCAGGTCTCAGGGGACACTGGCCGGCTGGCCCGCATTCCTTGTGCACGCCTCCACCCCTCCCTCCTGCTTTGGAACCCAGTGAGGGAAAGTGGGGCAACCCTGTTTCTATGGAGAGGAATGGATGGGCTGTGGCCTAGTTTGCCCTCTTCCAGAATCAGCAGCTTGGTGGGGCTTAGGTCGGGACCTGAACGCCCATCCAGTAGGAACTGCAATTGAATGGGAAGACACCCTAGAAAAGACAGCGGGGAGGGGCTTGAAGGTCATCTCCACACACCGCATCGCTGGTGACTTGTCTTGGGTGCCCTGGGGTCACCAGGAGACTGCCTCCCATTGGACCTCCCTCAGGAGTCCTACCAGAACCCTCCACTCAGCCATTCAAGAGGGCAGGTCCAGGTGGGTGATCCCCCACGCCCCGTATTGTGGCCATATCTGTCACATCTTAGTGTCTGGCTTGGAGCCCTGCTGGTGTAATAGTTAGTTGTGCATTAGGCTGCGATCCGATCCGCATGGTCTGTAGTTTGAAACCACTAGGAGTAGCGAAGAGTTCATTGACTGGACACGTACCTGGCTAGTCTTCCTGACTCCAGTCACAGCGGAGCCAGGCCTTGTCACTTCTTTTAATCTCATTTGCCAGCAAGCATTTTAAAGCCCGCTCTGCAACTCTGATCTAGCTGTGCAGAGCCCACCAGAAATCCCCACTGTAAAAGAAAGCAAAGAAGGGACTAGGAGAGTAGGGGAGGGAGGGGGAGAGGAAGAGGGAGTTTTTTCTGAGTGTGGGCTGCTGGGAAGTGGTTGATTGGTGATTGGTTGTTCCTAGGAGAAAGTAAAAAGTTTAAAATGACAGCATCTACTACAAGGGCCGGAAAACCACTGGGAATTAATTTGGGTAGCCCAAGTCCTAACTCGAGATAGGCATAGCAAGTTCAGTTGAGGGAGGGAAAAAATGTGTCAAGAAATTCTCTTTAGGACAATCGAAAACAAAGATCTCACGGTTTCATTATTGTTATGATTTTATTTTCTTCCTAAAAATGTGCAAGAAAAGCTCAACTAGGTGGCCTGTGGTTGGCTTGGGAGCAGGGTGGGGAAATCCATTCTGACTATAATTTTAAAGTGAACGAATTCTTAAAATAGAGATGTTGATGTTGCAGAAAACCCCTCGCTACACCCACCCAGCCCGCTAAAGACACAAAGCGAGGGTGGAAGATGCCGCTACAGCTCCTCCGGTGACCAATCCCAAGGGCTTCTAGGCGGAACTGTCACCGAGTTGAAAGTACTTTTGAACTCCAAGGAAATCTTGCTTTCGTAGGCACTTGCAAAACAATGGAACTGCACGTGACCCTGGACCTGGAGGGGGAGGGAGGGGGTGGCGTTTCCTGCGAGGTGCAGCAGAGGAGGGAACCGAGGGTCGACCTCCAGCGTTTTGGACAGCGGTCTCCTCAGTTGTCCCCGAAGCTCGGGGTGGAGGGTGAGTGAGGGTGGGTTTGAAGGGTGTGAGGGGGGTAGGGGTGTGAGGGAAATTTTGACTGCATCTAAGGGAGACACTCAGAGACATTCATCTTATTTTGTTTGAAAAGTCATTCGCTCAAGTTATCACTGTGTGACACCTTAGAATAAATCTAATTTGCGGCCACTCCTCCTCCTCGGTTCCCCGGGGATGTCCTAGGACAGAGAGGCGGGTGTCTTGCTGAAGTTTGGGCTGGGTTTCTGGGTCCAAGCCTTGAAGCCAGAGAGCTTCGTGGTGCGCAGGGAAGCGGAGCGGGGGGTGGGGGTCCCCAGAGAAAATGAGGACTTTGCGGAGACTGCGACTCTTGGGAAAATCAAAGGGGGCGGGGCGAGCGAGAAATCGGGAAGACGGGAAGTAAAGAGCCGAGCACTCCCAGGGCCGCCGGCGCCCTCGGTTCTCCCCCGGAGGCGGGCCTAACGTGAGCGAGCACCCGCTCTGCGGTTCTTCTAGGGGCGCTTGAGGAAAACTGTGTGACCCGCTCGAAGCTGCAGGTCGCAGAAGAGAGTCCGGGGCCCCGGGCGCCTCCACGCGGGACCCTGGGTGTCAGACACGCCGAGCCGGACTCAGCCTACGCGGCAGCAACAAACACTTTGGCGTGGCTGGGCGGGGCCGAGCGGGCGGGCCACGCCCTCTCCTCCCCAAATCCCTTCCACCGAGACTTCCCATTGGTCACGAGGGTGGCCAATGAGCGCGCGGATCGAGGTCCTACCCTGGGTCTGACTCGAAAGCTCCTGCCAAAACTTTTGGGAGTTTTTAGAGGAGTTTTTTTTGTTTTGTTTTTTTCCTTTTTTTTTTTTAAAGGAACAGATTAGGGTTGTTGTTATTTTAAATTTAGCTCGCAGGGCTTAGTTGTTTGGGTTTTTCTTTCGGGGTCCGGCCCTGTCCTTCCGGCTTCCCAGGCTGTGCGAAGCGCACCCCTGCCGCCCCGCCGCCTCTCCGCCCGCGGCGGCAGCCCGCGCCCCGC